TCCAACCATGTACTGTCTGCACCAGGGTCTCCCAGTACTGTCTGCACCAGCTCACCCTGCCAGGTATTCCATGCACCAGGTCATCCAACCATGTACTGTCTGCACCAGGTCTCCCAGTACTGTCTGCACCAGGTCACCCTGCCATTCACTGCTTTCAAAAGGTCATCCTAACTGAGTACTGACTTATCCAGGTAACCAACTAAAGTAATGTCCCTCACTGAGAGCAATAATATTCAAAGCGAAAATATTTTTCAAGAAGTCTTCCATGCCACACCACGAAATGTACAATACTCCTGCTTCATTTTGTGAAATTTTATTTATTTCATGTTATATTGTGAGTAATAAACCAAGCACTGATTTCAGAAAGGTATATCTTATCTAGATACCGTCGTTTTATCCGCGCCGCTGACCTTCAATTGCGACCTCTTCTACGTCAGTCACGATAAGCAGGGAAACACACACGTACATGTATCTTCAGCCATGGCAGCTGTTATTACTGTAACAGTGACTCAGGTGAGTCTATTGAATTCATCAGGATGAACGGGTACCATTAATACATATGGTGTTATGTTACCATGACTGTTACCATAGTACATTACTTCAGGAATTGTCACTATTATCAACGGAGTCATGAACAAAAATGTAGTGAGAAACCAGATAAGGCATAAACCAGATTTTAGTCCCATAACAACGTTTTCTGGTTTGGACTTCTTACAGATCCAAGTATTTTATTTATTCTAGGTCATTCTCATGCTTTGTGTGGGCCAGAGCAAAGGTATGTATATACAGTCGAACCCCGTGTATCCGGACATTTTGGTTACACTCAGAAATCGCCTGGAGGCGTCCGGTTAACTGGATCAAACAAGCAAAATGTATTGCCGATGTATCTTGAAAATTTATCATGTATATGTGTGTGTGTGTGTGTGTGTGTGTGTGTGTATAAATGAATAGTCAATAGTAAAACAATTAATCATAACATATAAATGTACCAATAAACATTGACTCACATTTGACTCACATTACACGTTATACATCTTACTTCACTCAATATCTTGACATTTCCCATGAAGCACATTTATTTCTTTAAAAATCTGTCATTGATGTTTGCTTCGTTGGTTTGATTTCATCCAGTTTTTCACTAAGTCCATCACTAGATTCACCGAACCTTCGTAGAATGTAAGCAACCTGTTGGCGTGTATCTAACTGATGTGTTGTAGATCAGATGTTTTTGGGGAGAACGTGGTTTCATTAAAGCATGGAGCGACAGGCATGTGGGTAGTGCGATTGCCGTCGAGCAAGAGGGAATGGGTTCTATATCCGCCTGATGTAATGAGGCCGTCTCCCTTGGTCTTGAGGATAAAACGTCTGTCTGGACAGCGGATGGTGGGTGTTTTGGTCCCTGGGAAAGAGGATAAAGCAAGGACCGCTCCGCTCGACATCAATACATTGTTCGGTATCCATGTTAAATTAGGGCATGACATTTTAGGCAAAATTATACCGGTAGAATAGTGCAGCCACACACGCACCAACGCACACAAACACACATTCACGCACGCACAGACGCACGCGCACACGTGCGCATCTCTGTAAGTGCAATAAACTTGAACGCTACATTAAAGCCCTCTTCCTACATTATGTCATGTCATTAAAACTATTCTCATTGGTGCCAACACGATAAGGCTTCCGTTGTGAGATAATTTACGTTAGTGACTGTACACCCTCTTTCCGCGTTTTTGAAGTGACGGTGGTGGAGTTAACTGTGTCACTAGCAGTGTGAGCGAATTATTTTAGCTGCACTTGCTTGTGCACGAGCCCACAGGTGGTAGGTTGTAGAAGAACCCATGTTCCACACATCATGATGGTGGTACGCGTTCAACAATTGCTGGACGTATTTAGAATAGTTTATGTTCGGCAATTTAGAATTATATTGTGGCACGAGTTCATAAAGCAAGTGCCGATTTGTATATATCAGTAGATGACAGCAGCTGTCCAATCAGATTGCATGACGTTTTGGCATCCGTGTTTAATCTAGCAAACGAACTACGTATTATCAGAAATAGCAACCTTAAGCACTGTGGTATGGCGTCAACCAAGAACAGGTGTTCTTGACATTGGAGATACGGGGAGGTATGGAATACTGTAAAGGGACATTCTTGCGGCCAAGAGTTTTCTTGACCGCTCGAAACAAGCTTGCAATGCAGAAGTGCGAGAACAAAATATTTTACCAATATTAAAGGCAAAGAATTTCATGGATGTCAACGGAGAAGACACAGTGAAAAGTCGTGTCCATCACAATAAAAATAGTTGACATCCATAAAATTTTTGCCTTTATGTGTATCACGTCTAAATGTCATTCACATTTTTGTATTACATAAATTGTTTTCGTCACGATATGGCTGAGATATTGCCGATGTGACGTTAAATATTAACTCACTCACTCACTCACTCACTCTAAATGTCATTCAAAGACTTTACCATTTTTTTCCTTGCGAACATGGAAAGAGTTGTGTCTCCCTTTATACAAAACTTGTGAACTGACGTGACGTTGCATTTCAGCCGCTTCATCCCTGTATTGCCGGAGCTGCGTGGATGTCGCCAACCCTGCGTCCTGCACAAACATACGCTCATGTAAAGAAAATCAAGTAAAGTCATCTATTTATACACATGGGAAGCATGATACGCTAGAATAGGAAATACTTTTAAATCAGATCTTCGCCTCCGTAATGATCTGACTCACCACTCACGTTTCACCTCAGGTGAAAATACCAGTCACATCGTCTTGAATTAACAATTCTTTGTAGGAATCTGTGTCTTTCCTGATTAAGAAAACTAGCATAAACCGTCAGATCTGCATGCAAAATATAAAACCACTGTTACCTTGTTACGTATGTTTTAAACATCGTGTCTTGTCTGAGTGACATGACATCCACGCCTATGATAACGTATTATCAATGGCGCGTCTGCATTTTTGGCTTTAATTTGTTTATATCACAGTTTTCGAATAGAAGTGATACAGTACTGAAATTATGACGCACCGTTTTAGAAGTGTGACTGTTTACCCTGGGTAGCAATCACCCGTGGTCCTCTACGGATTTACAGCGATTCATACATATAATGCACACCGCTATTTTGCCTTTTACGTCCATGGGTAGTCTATCATGCAGACCCTGAAACAAATAAAACCAGGCCATGCAAGTCTATAATGAGTTTTGGAAATGAAGAAAGTCTCTTGTCTCCTTATATTCGAATATTTTTAAATTAATAGCGAATTACCTTTTTTCTGTAAAATATATTCATTTCAGAGAGGAGATTTTAGTCTAGCACAATTAAATTAGTTTCGGCAGATCGTCGAGGATAGTAATTTCTTATTGTAGTCGCGTATTTCTATACAGAATAGCCAGTCAAGGTGGCTCAGGGTATAGGTCTGGCGTAACATTAAGTTAATACTTTAACTGGAGCTGTTGGAATTTGTTGGTTATTTTCAGTTCTGCGTGTTTCATGTAGTTTTCGGGGTTTGTTGTTGTGTTTGGGGTGTTGTCTTTGGTTTTGGTTTCTTTTTGTTGCGTGTGTATGTGATTTGTTTGAGTTGCATTCTATACGTTGGTGGTATAGAGATGACAAAACGTTATGGGCGATCAACTTCATTATTTTCACAATGGCGACGTTTCGGTATAGATTCTTATACCGCTTTCAAGCACGATGTGTATGTGTGTGGGATTGGGTTGGGTTTGGAGTGAATGGGGTAGATGAAGTTTTCTGGTGAGGATGACGGTGTTTGCTGCATAGAGCCAGCACGTGTATGAATCGTACGTCGTTTAAATCAAGTCGCTTAAGTGCCCAATGGATGGAAAGCTGTCAGAGTAATGTTATCCTGTAGGCATTAATAATCGACATGTTTTCAAAAAACATGCCGTCGTGATGTAATACGCCAAACACAGTCTCACTTGTTAGCACTTTCATTTCTCTACATCTCCGATTCTCAATTGTCGGCTGAAATCCAGTTATGAACTTTTCCAATATATTTTGATTTTTCAATCTAACACCACCACCACCACGTATTATTTACCAGATGTGTTCCACTAGGGAAATGAGGAGTCTCAACGGGGACGTCGTCTACACGCTGGGATGCGACAACAGCACCGTGAGTATTTTGAACGTGCCAGGGTGTCACTTCAAGTAAAATAACAAACACAGCCTGAACCATCTAGATTCATTCTAAATGATTAGTTACGTCAGCAATTTAAACATCTATGTAATAATATGTCACACATTAAATAAACTGACATCAGGGACGTGCCAATTGAACCACCATTGATTCATTTATGATACTGGCAATAGATTGGGTTTATGACAGGCTGATAATGTTTATGTTCAGTGTTATTCTTCATTTCATGAAAATGACGTTTCCCGATTCCGTTTTCTTCTCAAACAATAATATTTAATATTTGGACACGCACTGTCACGACAATGATGATGATGATGATGATGATGATGGAATTGTCGGGCACTACTTTACTAGGTTACACACACGTCTAATTTACAAGACAAGAGACTGTTGTATATAGGTGAGGTGAAATTGGTTTAACGTCATGCTTGAGAATATTTCGCTCATATAACTACGTGCATGCGTGTGTATGTGTATGTGCAGCTGCTTGTCCTAGCCCAGACTTAAGCTGGTTTTATAGTGCTAGCCCACTGAGATACAATGCCGCAGTGAAGCATGAATACCCCACTCAGACACATTATACTGACTCCGAGCCGACCAGTCCTTGTTGAACCCATTAATGCCGAGCGAAAGGCAGGGACCAACAAGTACCATATTTTAACGTCTTTTGGTATGACACGGTCGGGGATCGAACTCCGCGACCTTCCGCTCTCCGGGAGGACGCTCTAACCACTATTCCACGGAGGCGGTCACAAAACACTATAATACTGATGAATGTTTGTAATGCTAGCTGGCATCACCTTTACTCATGTAGGTATGCAGTTCAGAGTTTGCTCGGGTCCTGTCATCGGACGGCGTGAAGCCTCAGGTTGTTTTCAATGCTGCGGAACTAACGAATGTAATGCTGGACTGTGTGCTCATCAACCATCGACAACACCACATACTAGCCTTCCTGTTGGTAATATAGATATTTCTAACGTATATTGTACAATATTCTTGATACACTCAACACACTAGCCTTCCTATAGGTAATGTGAATTACGTAGATTGTACAATATTCTTGATACACTCAACACACTAGCCTCATATATATGTAATGTGAATTACGTAGACTGTACAATATTCTTGAAACACTCAACTCACTAGCCTTCCTATAGGTAATGTAATTGCGTAGATTGTACAATATTTTTGATACACTCAACACACTAGCCTTCCTATAGGTATTGTGAATTACGTAGATTGTACAACATTCTTGATGCCATCAACACACTAGCCTTCCAATGGGTAATGTGAATTACGTAGATTGTAAAATATTCTTGATGCAATCAACACACTAGCTTTCCTATAGGTAATGTGAATTATGTAGATTGTACAATATTCTTGATGCAATCAACACACTAGCCTTCCTATAGGTAATGTGAATTACGTAGATTGTAAAATATTCTTGATGCAATCAACACACTAGCCTTCCTATAGGTAATGTGAATTACGTAGATTGTACAATATTCTTGATACACTCAACACACTAGCCTTCCTATAGGTAATGTGAATTACGTAGATTGTACAATATTCTTGATACACTCAACACACTAGCCTTCATTATAGGTTATGTGAATTACGTAGATTGTACAATATTCTTGATACACTCAACACACTAGCCTTCCTATAGTTAATGTGAATTACGTAGATTGTACAATATTCTTGATGCAATCAACACACTAGCCTTCCTATAGGTAATGTGAATTACGTAGATTGTACACAATATTCTTGATGCAATCAACACACTAGCCTTCCTATAGGTAATGTGAGATTACGTAGATTGTACAATATTCTTGATACACTCAACACACTAGCCTTCCTATAGGTAATGTGAATTACGTAGATTGTACAATATTCTTGATACACTCAACACACTAGCCTTCCTATAGGTAATGTGAATTACGTAGATTGTACAATATTCTTGAAGCAATCAACACACTAGCCTTCCTAAAGGTATTGTGAATTACGTAGATTGTACAATATTCTTGATGCACTCAACACACTAGCCTTCCTATAGGTAATGTGAGATTACGTAGATTGGCACAATATTCTTGATACACTCAACACACTAGCCTTCATATAGGTAATGTGAAATGCGTAGATTGTACAATGTTTTGATACACTCAACACACTAGCCTTCCTATAGGTAATGTGAATTACGTAGATTGTACAATATTCTTGATGCATTCAACACACTAGCCTTCCTATAGATAATGTGAATTGCGTGGATTGTACAATATTCTTGAAACACTCAACACACTAGCCTTCCTATAGGTAATGTGAATTACGTAGATTGTAGAATATTCTTGATGCAATCAACACACTAGCCTTCCACTATAGGTAATGTGACTTGCGTAGATTGTACAATATTCTTGATACACTCATCACGCTAGCCTTCCTATAGGTAATGTGAATACAATAGATTGTACAATATTCTTGATGCAATCAACACACTAGCCTTCCTATAGGTAATGTGAATTACGTAGATTGTACAATATTCTTGATGCAATCAACACACTAGCCTTCCTATAGGTAATGTGAATTACGTAGATTGTACAATATTCTTGATACACTCAACACCCTTGCCTTCCTATAGGTAATGTGAATTACGTAGATTGTACAATATTCTTGATACACTCAACACACTAGCCTTCCTATAGGTAATGTGAATTGCGTAGATTGTACAATATTCTTGATACACTCAACACACTAGCCTTCCTATAGGTAATGTGAATAACGTAGACTGTTCAACGACAATACAGAAATATATCACATACATTGCGAAATATCCTATCCCACAACACAGTATCCCGCTGACTGGCTAATATACTTTCAATAATCCTAATATGCCTTAGCTAATAGATGCTCCATGTTTTATAACATAGTGTTATACTTATATTTCTAGGATCCATAAGTTATTTTGAAATTACGTATAGTTCCAAAATGTTGCAATCACTGCAACAAAGAGGCCATGCAAGTTGACATCTATCCTATTTTAAACGTATTTTCAGTTTTTTTCGACATAGCTATTCTAGTTTGTGCATAAACCTTCATTTTGAGATAATGAGAGACGCTGTTGCCAGAATGAGCTTTACCGAAGACATCTCTTGAGTGACCACATCGCAATGACTTGTTATTTCCCGTAGGTGTCGTTGATCACTGCAAGTCGGACCCTTGCCAGAACGGCGGATCCTGCTATGAGAGGGTGGATGGTTTCGTGTGTGAGTGCACGGCCGGGTTCACTGGTCTTCACTGCGATATTACTGATATGTGTGCTTCGGATCCCTGTCTGCATGGAGGCAAATGTCTCGATACTAAAACAAGGTACTTACACTCGAGAATAAATGCGATATACCCTTTCTATAATTGAGGTGAGGTGAGGTGAAATTGGGTTTAACGTCGTGCTTGAGAATATTTCGCTCATATGACGACGTGCATGCGTGTGTATGTGTATGTGCGGCTGCTTGTACTAGCCCAGACTTAAGCTGGTTTTATAGTGCTAGCCCACTGAGATACCACTCCGCAGTGAAGCATGAATACCCCACTCAGACCCATTATACTGACTCCGAGCCGACCAGTCCTTGTTGTACCCATTAATGCCGAGCGCAAGGCAGGGACCAACAAGTACCATATTTTAACGTCTTTTGGTATGACGCGGTCGGGGATCGAACCTACTGACCTTTCGCTCTCTAACCACTACACCACAAAGGCGGTTTCTATAATTGAGGATGAAACACATTTCCTTGTGAAATGTAACCTACATGCCGATATTATCTGAGGTTTCGACCTGATGTCAATCCTCTCCCTTTTGTATTATAAGAACTCTAAAATAAAGTATCTATTTTAGAAGGTGACATGTTACAGCCCACTTCAAAATCCTATCATTTCGTGATATTTAGTGCAGTGGCTGGTATTAAAATAGATTGCATTTCTACTTCATATTTCCATTATCACTCGGCTCAGTAACATAGATCTGCCACAACATATAAGCAAAGTGATTTTGTGTCAATGGATCCAGACAAGATGGGTCCATGGTACTGCTGTAAAGCAAAGGGAAGGCATGGCACATACTATGTTGTACATAAGCAGCCATTATGAAGTTTGAACATACTGAGAACCTTTTTCTGGTATATTTCCTAAAAGAAACAGTACACACTATTCGCTTAATGTTGTCTCGTTGGAGTTGAATTTCTACCGTTTCAAACAAAAAGACCACTCTGAAGACTTCTTCCGAACAAAGTCCGTGTGGAACATGCAATCGTTCGGTTAAGTTGACCATGTTAAACCGACAAGTCTTGAGGTGTACGGTTATGCAACTTAGGCATGTCCTGGAAACGTATTATTTACTTCGAAACAGGACGTCAGACCCTTCTCCGTCACTGTCTAATGTGATAGTATTGATATTTAAAGCAAATGGACGACGCCTGTACGTCATCACGCTTACTTGAGCATTAGCACAGGGGTATACTCAACACTCTCCTTAGACATAACGATGATGTGACAATTGTTTCTGCCGTCGGACTGTATTCGACGTTAAACGGTTTGTAGCGAGCAGGTGGTATTAGATTGTATCGGAACTGAGGCGCAAAATAAAATATATCTGGTTTGTTTAGTTTTATACGTAATAGAAATTTTAAATTTAGAAGTTAAATTTGATCATATCTAGCTCAACATCACTCATCTTTGAAACAATTTGAAAATGTAATCTGTGACTGGTAAAGTTGTGTTACAAACAGTTCAGAGTAAACGGGAGTAAAGACGTGAACTTGCAACCACAGATATCTCACCTTCAACTTTAAAATGTAAAAATTTGAGAAAATAAAGAAAACGTAATTTTAAAGTCCATTGAATTTAAGATTTAAATTATATCAAAGCTAAAACCCTGAGTGCCAAGGCTAATTCAATATGGAATATAATATCGCACAATTCAGATATTTTCAAATGAAAATCCAAAATACGAGAAAAACGTTTTTGAGACAATTTCGTTTCCCTCTCAGTTCTCAGTGTATGTCTGAGGGGTCAACCCTGTCTAGATATCACAGGGCCTGCATTTTGAATTACATTTGGTTGATTATCATGCCCTTGTTGTCAATATCGACGTTCCAGTTACGTCTGTGACTGCACCGGTACTGGTTACGATGGCTTCACGTGTCACCTGCCCTACAACGACTGTCAGTCACAACCCTGTCTCCACGGCGCCACGTGTG